GTGGGACTTTCATAGTTAGAGAGAAGTCAATGCCTGGCTTCAAAGCTTCAAATAATAGGCTGACTCTCTTAGAGGCTAATGCAGCTGGTGACGTGAAATTGAAGCCAATAATCATTGATCATTCCAAAAACCCGTGGATCCTTAACCTACTCTGTCTGTGCTCTATAAATGGAACAACAAAGCCTGGATGATAGCATATCTGTTTATAACAGGTTTTACTGAATATTTCAGTCCCACTGCTGAGAACTATTGCTCAGAAAAAAAGGATTCCTTTCAAAATATTACTGCTTATTGATAATGTACCTGGTCTCTCAAGAGTTCTGATGGAGATGGACAACGAAATTAGTGTTATTTTCGTGCCTGCTAACACAGCATCCTTCTACAGCCCATGGATCAAGGAGTCATTTTAACTTTCAAGTCTTATTATTTAAGAAATACATTTCATAAGACTACAGCTGCCATAGGTGTGGTTCTTCTGATGGATCTGGACAAAGTCAATTGAAAACCTTTGGGGAAGGAGTCAACATTCTAGATGCCATTAAGGACATTCCTGATTCATGGGAAGAGGTTAAAACACCAACATTAACAGGAGTTTGGAAGAAGTTGATTCCAATCCTCATCGATGACTTTGAGGGGTTCAAGACTTCAGTGGAGGAAGTAACTACAGATGTAGTGGAAATAGAAGCCAAGTAGCATTGGAAGTAGAGCCTGAAGATGTGACTGCAGTGCTGCAATCTCATGATCAAACTATAATGGGTAAGGAGTTGCTTCTTATGGATAAGCAAAGAAGGTGATTTCCTGAGATGGAATCTATGCCTGATGAAGATGCTTTGAAGATTCTTGAAATGACGACAAAGGATTTAGAATATTACATAAACTTAGTTGATAAAGAAACAGCAGGATTTGAGAGAACTGACGCTAGTTTTGAAAGAAGTTCTTTGGGTAAAACGCTATCAAATAGTACTGCATGCTAGGGAGAAATCGTTTGTGAAAGAAAGACACGATTGATGCAGCAGACTTCACTGTTGCTTATTTTAAGAAATTACCGTGGCCACCCCAGCCTTCAGCAAGCACCACTGTGCTCAGTCAGCAGCCATCAACATCAAGGTCAGACCCTCCACCATCAAAAAGATTATGACTTTCTGAAGCTCAGATGACAGCCATCATTTTTTAGCAACAAAGCATTTTTTAAATTAAGTTATATACATTACTTTTTAGACATCATACTATTGCACAGTTAAGAGACTACAGTACCTTTTATATGCACTGGGAAACAAAAAAAAATAATCACGTAACTGGCTTTATTGCACAATTTGCTATATTGTGGCAGTCTGGAACTGAACCCACGGTATCTCCAAATTGTGCCTGTCATGGCTCCCAAGGAAAGCCACATCCTAGTCCCCAGGACCTGTGAAAATGGTCCTTACCTGGTAAAAGAAACTTTGCGAATATGAGTTAGCTAAGGATTCTGAGATGAGGGGATTAGCTCTGATTGTCCAGGGGAGCCCGTGTAATCCCAGGGATCCTTATAGGAAGGAGGCAGGAGGGGCAGTAGTAAGAGGGAGCAGTGAAGATGCAGGCAGAGGTCAGAGTGAGCCAGGTCACAAGCTCTGGAATTGGGGTGGGGGGTCTAGAACTTGAAAAAGGCCAGGAGACAAATTTTCTCTAGAACTTCCAGGAAAAGAAATGCAGCCCTGCTGACCCTCTTTAGACTTCTGGCTTCCAGAACCATAAGATGATGTGTGGTTTTAAGTCACTAAGTTTTTGGTAATTTGTTACAGCAGCAATAGGAAATGAATACATTTGGGGGTGGGGAATTAGTTTATTTATTTTATATTTTAGAGGAGGTACTGAGGATTGAACCCAGGACCTTGTACATGCTAAGCATGCACTCTACCGCTTGAGCTATAGCCTCCCCCTTAAAAAAATTTTTTTTCAATATTTGTAGCTTTTTTGTTTGTTTTATTTGGAGGGGTAATAATTAGGTTTATTTAGTTATTTATTTTTTTAATGGAGGTGCTAGAAATTGAACCCAGGACCTCATGCATTGCTAAGCAAGTGCTCTACCACTGAACTATAGCACCCCCCGGAAATGAATACTCTTATAAAGGTAAAAATCTAATTTTTTGAATTGTCTGCCTTTGATGTTTAGAAAGGAAGTAGTAGGGACTGATATAAAGTGGGAAAGAATGTTTGGGTCAGAGACATACACTTAAATGGAAATTTTCTTAGGAAAATTATGCAGACACACAATTCTAGAGCTAAACCCAGAAAATCACAACAAAACATTATGGGGCCTGGAGCAGTACTGCTTAGAAGAAACGAGAATCAGAACAGGGTAGATAAATTCGTGTGTTCTACAGATGCACAGAGAGCTTAACTATGTTACGCACGCGCCATTTCAAAGCCTCTTTCCTCATTTAAGAATCTCTGTGATACTCTTCCTTGGCCATTGAGTTGGACTAGAAAATTCCTAAGATATCTTTCAGCCCTCACGTCCTACATTAAACCACAAATGAGAAAAACACAAGTAATTTACTCATCAATGATCCTGAAGGAGCTTCAATTCCTAGTCCTGAGGGAGTAGGAACTTGCCTGCTATCCGTATTGCTACCACGAGATGGCGAAGCTGGCCTATTGATGCCAGATCTAAGCGCCCACATTTAAATTGTTTACATTCACCGAGCTAGGAAATCGAATTTATTTTCGAGGCAGGCAGGCTTCATGGGAGGGAGAGAAGTCTAACTGGTTAATAATACACTAGACATTGTCACATGTGGAATTGATCACATTTAGCAAACCCACCTACAGACCACAGAGACTGTCCTGATGAGCTGAGGCTGATGATGATGTCCACGGCCAGACGATTTCCTGGCAGGTGGTTTCCCAAAACCACTGCCCCGCCAGCACTTCCACTCTGACCTACGGTACCGCTAAATCATCCCCCAAATGTGCTGCCGTTCATTCCAAAACAAAGAAAAATCTTCAACCCGCCAACTATTTCACATGTTTATCAAATACTTTATAATCCATTTCAAAGGGTAAGCTCTCGACCGATCCTAGGCTGAAAATAAATGGCAGGGAAGTTCACTGACAATGTGCCAGTTTCTATGCAGAATATCATACCAATAACACCATCTTCAAGTGTAGTTTCAGGAATGGAGACAAAGTAATGTCTGCTTTAAAAATTTAGCAGTACTTGAGGGAAAGGAAGATGGTAAAGTTACACAGCTGATTATTTTACAGTAACCCACAACTTCTGTTTCTCATCACAATAAAAAAAAAACTCTCTTTTTGTTTTAGCCATTTTTCCAGGACCTGTACATTTCAATTTATGCAATGGATATGCTGTGTGTAAATCAAATTCGGGGTGAGTGGCACTAAGGGAGCCCCTAGAGAACCCTCTGCTGGCTCTTTCATCCACTGGCATAGGAAGTATACAGCATATGGCTCCTAACTTTTTATCTTGCAAGTTGGCCTTTGAAAGCAAAGAATCTCTGTAAATGCATTAGGTCTGCTACTCTTCAGGCTTTAAAGCTTATGCACGATTGTTTTCAGCTCAGCAAACATCTGTTAAAGCTTCTGACGCTCTTGAAAAAACTTGAGTTAATGCAAAGTCACAAAATAATAACCTGTGTCCTGCTGATTTAACTTTCCCACCCTCTTCATCTCAGATTTCTCCTGGGCAGAGTTAACTCCCTTCTAGGTGAAGTAGCTTCAGCCTCCAGAAGTCTCAGTCTGAACCCACTGTTAAAATGCAATATGCTTGCCTTGGATAGTTGAGCATTGGGCAGAGAAAGATAAATCATTGACTCAACAGGAAAAATTAGCTCACATTAGCAAAGGTTTATTTTAACATATAATGAGCATGTCCTGTGTGCCAAGCACTAGGCTAAACAATCTCACATTTGACACCACGAGAAAGATTCTTAAAAGCGTGCAGACCTCCAAGCTGTCTGGAAGGAAAGTAGGAAAAGTGTCAACATTCAACCTCTTCTCACATTAAAGGAGCTCCTCTAGTGTTTCCTAATAAAAATAAAATTCCATATGATGCTTGAGCACTCCTTTCAAGCCTAAATGCCTTCTTTGGCTGGAATTTTCACATTCCCTCTTCTAAATTATAAACCAGATTCTAAGCATAATTTCTCCAAGCAGCAACATAGGACTTCTATAGTTCTCTATGGAGACACATGCACTTGGGATCAAGTGAGAATTAATTTCAGAAGTGAGAAGGGTTATCAATAAAAGGGGGGAGGGAGCATCTAGATGTAAGATTGACAGCTTCTTTCACGTCAATGACAGTGCGAAAAGGTCAGAGGAATGAGGCAGGAGGTGTTTCTACAACTTTTCAAAGACTTTTATTATAGAAAATTTCAAACTACACAAAAGTAGAAAGCTATTTTTTAAAAAGTAGAACAGTAAACCCCATGTGCCCATCACCCAGCTGCAATTTTTACCAATATTTTGCCAATCTTGTTTCAGTTGTCTCCTCCACCTTTTCTTCTAGAGTATTGTAAAGCAAATCCAACACTTTTCAATTTTATTTCACCTTCTCATTTTAAAAAAATGTTTTGCACTGCTCCTTTTGCTGACCTGTGCAGCCAAATTGATGAGAGAGAGAGGAATTCCTAGCTGTCATAGTAAACCTGCCAAAGAGGCTTTCAACGAGAGTAGACTTTCCAGGAATGCGTTTTACACCTTTTTCAATGGCATCTGTTAAGAATCATAAAAAGAAAGAGGGTCCCCTCTGGTAGTACTTAAATAGAAAGAATTCCATTTATATTCCAATGCAAACATTGTTACTGTTAATATTAAACTGTGCAGAGGCCGGCACAAAGAATCGCCTTTCTGAAAGAGTCGTTTCTTTGATGACCTAAAAGTGCTGAGTTTGATCCCTAACTTTAGAGCCCTTCAAAGTTCTCCCAGGGTAGGTCCTGTCTTTCTTAAGGAAATGTCCAGGTTATGGGGTCTCACCCTGTCCAGGGGGGCTCCATCCTTACCTGTTCAGCTGATTCGGTCCTGGGGGCGCTGCCCAGCTCGAATCAAAGTGTCCCGAGGGGGTCACCAATGCTGGCGAGGCAGGAGGGCGGGGGCGCGGCTGCCACCAGCCTCGGGACAGCCAGAGCCCGGGACGCCCGGCCACCGCCCGCCAGCACCGTCGGGAGCTCAGAGCTCGAGGCTGAGACTGCGAGGAGGAGAGAGCAGAGCTGAGCGCCCGGGAGGGGAGGTGGGAGGGGAAAGGGGGCGTTGGCGCCGGGCGGACGCGGGGGAGGCGAGGGAAGAGGAGAGGGGAGAGGAGGTGGGCAGGAGGAGAGAGGGGAGAGAGAGGAAGGAGAGGGAGGGAGAAGGAACCGGGACGCGGGGCTCGGGGGGGATTTATTTGGAGGTGTGGGGTGAACCAGGCAGCCTCTCACCCCAGCATCTTTGACCCCAGAGTGAATTAATTCAGCACTAGGAAAAAATAATGAGAACCCGAGAGGTGTCTGTCCCCGTAATAGTATGCATCCCATAAATAGTCTCAAGAAGATACCCCGAAATGTGTGCTTGGAGGGGAGGGAATGGGGGGTGCATGGGAGTGGTTCTTCGAGTCTCAATCTCCGTGCTCGAGATTTAGACCCCAGCCGTCTAGAAGACATATGGGCATTTATTTCCCTAACCCCAACCCAAGCCAGTCTCCATCCGGGACCTCGCAGGCGCCCACATCCGCCGTGAGGGCTTGCAACCCTGGAGGGCTGGGGTCTGGGTCACCCCGTGAGCATCCCGTGAGGCCTCCAGGGGGGAGCCCGTCAGTTTCCGTCTGTCGCAAGGCTAAGAGGCTTTTTCTGCTTTTTGGCGAGTATCGTTTAACATCTTTGCCCACCTCAGTCGCACCAAAATTCTAAGTACCTCTCTCTTAGACTCTTCTCTGCTCCTTAGGAAGGGTGCTCCTTTGGGTGGGGACCCCCCTAAGGAAAGTATTCAGCGACTACTCGTCTTCTGCTGGGTGGCAGGGCTGAAGCCAGATGCACCCATGCAGAAATGAGTACGAAAACTTGGTCCTGGCCCCCAAGGAAGAAATCAGGTAAGTGCACAAGTATTTATAACAGAAGGTCTTAGCATGTACCGGAACACTTGGCTCAATGGTAGTTTATTGCTTTTCTCAAGTTTATATATATATTTTTTTAGCAGAATGAGATCAGAACATATACAATCATTACATTCCCCGTTTTTACACTTTATTTATGCACTTACCCATATAATTAAAATCTATTAATAATTTTTACCTGGTATTGAATAAATAGTTCTGAAGCTCTCGGTCTCACCAGTTAGATCATAATCTTCAAATGCATCTTTGAATCTCCACCCTCCACCAGAGGGCCTGGCACTTAATGACTGCTGACTGAGTCGAACTAAAAAAGTTCGCCAGTGAAATGGAGTGTGAGGAAGTGGTAAAGAAGGCCCAGAACTCAGAATGCGAAGACCCCTCTGACCCTGAATAGTTGTGCCCTGGGCTTCAGCCTCTTCATTAGTAAATTAAGGTTATCTGGAGGAGTTTTATAATCTGTACTTCTCAGACATTTGGGGGAATTCTAACACTGCATAAATCCAGGAGGATTTAGTCTGGATGCAGGTCTGATTTCTTTAATTCTGTCACCACCCCTCACTGACAACACGTAAAGTCAACTTCAGTGCTCTCCCATTTCAGGGCCTCTCTTCCCGAGCCTTTAACCCCAAGCCCTCTTTTTCCCCGCAGCTTCACTGAGATATAGTTGACATACAATATCATTTTAATTTAAGGTGCACTATGTGATGAGTTGTTACACCTACAAGATGTGGAATATTTACCACAGAAAGGTCAGTTAATGCATCCTTTACTTCACAGAATTATCATTGTTTTGGTTGGTTGGTCGTCTCATTGTAGGGTGAGAATGTTAAAGCTTTACATTCAGAGCAATTTTCAAGATTACAGTACAGTATTATTAACTATAATCACCATGCTGTACATTAGATCCCTGAAATTTATTCATCTTATAACTAAAAGTTTATACCCTTTGACTAACTTCTCCTCATCTCCCCTGCCCCTCAGCCCATTGAGTATTTCTGGCTTCCTGTCAAATATTGGTTGACTGTATATGTGTGGTTTTATCTGTGGCTCCCAATTCTATTCCATTGGTATAGGCATCTGTTCTGGGTGTATAGATATTTAATTTGATTGGTTAAATGTATTCCTAAGTATTTTATTATTTTTGACATTATTGTAAAGGGGATTTTTAAGAATTTTGTTTTCAGATATTTCATTATTTGTTTATAGAAACGCAACAGATTTATGTAGGTTGATTTTTGTATCCTGAAACTTTACTGAATTTATTTATTAGGTCCAAGAGTTTTTTGGAGTCTTTGGAATTTGCTCTGTACTACTCCATACAAGATAATGTGATTGCAAATACAGACAGTTTTACTTTTTCCTTTCTGATTCAGATTTTTTTTTCTTGTACCTAATTACTCTAAGACTTCCAGTACTATGATGAATAAGAGTGGTGAGAGCAGACACTCTTGTCTGGTTCCTGATCTTAGAGGGGAGTTTTTAGCCCTTCACCACTGAGTATGATGTTTGCTGTGGGCTTGTCATGTACTGCCTTTATTATGTTGAGGTATGTTCCTTCTATACCCAATTTTTTGACAGTTTTTATCATGAAAGGATGTTGAATTTTGTTAAGTGCTTTTTCTGCATCTATTGACGTGATTATGTGATTATTATCTTTCTATTAAAGTAGTATTTCACATTTATTGATTTGCATATGTCGAACCATCCTTGCTTTCCAAGGATAAATCTCACTTGATCATGATGTATGATCCTGTTAATGTGCTCTTGAACTTGTTTTACAAGTATTTTATTGAGAACATTTGCATCTATATTCATTAAGGACATTTGCCTGTAATTTTCTTTTCTTGTGATATGCTTATCTGACTTTGATGTCAGGGTAATGCTAGCCTTGTAAAATGAGTTTAGAAGTGTTCCCTCCTCTTCAATTTTTTTTTTTGAAGAGTTTGAGAAGAATTGGCATTAATTCTTTACATGTTTGACAGAATTCATCTGTGAAGCCATCTGGTCCTAGGGTTTTCATTGTTGGGAGGGTTTTGATTACTGATTCAACCTCCTTAGTTGTTATTGGTCTGTTCAGATTTTCTATTTCTTCATGATTCAAATTTGGTAGATTGTATGTTTCTGGGACTTTATCCATCTCTTCTAGGGTGTCCAGTTCAGATTTTTTTTTCTTGTGCCTGATTACTCTAAGACTTTCAGTACTTATAACTGGCATATAACTGTTCATAGTACTCTCTTATGATCCATGTATTTCTGTAGTATCAGTTGTAATGTCTCCTTTTTCACTTCTGACTTTATTTATTTGAGTCTTCTTCTTTTTTTCTTGATAAGTCTAGGTCAAGGCTTATCAGTTTTGTTTATCCTTCCAAAAAACTCCTAATTCCTTTAAAATTTTCTTTTTTTTTTCTATACTCTATTTCATTTATTTCCACTCTGACCTTTGTTATTTCCCTCCTTCTCCTATCGTTGGGCTTGTTTCTTGTTTCTATAGCTCCTTGAGATATAAAGTTAAGTTTGTTTGAGATCTTTCTTTTTTCTTAATGTAGGCATGTATTGCCATAAAGTTTCCTCTTACCAGTGCTTTTGCTACATCCCATAGGTTTTGGTGTGTTGTATCCCCATTTTCATTCTGGTTCACTATGTTTTTTATTTCTCTTTTAATTTCATCTTTAGCTACTTGTTCAGAAGTGTATTAATTTCCACATATTTGTAAATGTTTCAGTTTTCCTGCTGTTACTGATTTCTAGTTAAACCGTTGTGATTAGAACAGATGCTTGGTATGATTTCAGTCTTATTAACTTTGCTGAGACTTATTTTGTAACCTAACATGATCTATCCTGGAGAATGTTCCATGTGTACTTCAGAAGCATATGTATTTTGCTTCTGTTAGATGGATTGTTCAATATATGTCTGTTAGGTACATTGATCTAAAGTAGAGTTCAAGTCCATTGTTTTCTTGTTGATTTTATATCTGGATAATCTGTCAATTGTTGAAAGTGGGGTATTAAAGCCCTACTATTATTGTACTGTTTTCTATAACTCCCTTCAAATCTGTTAATATTTGCTTAATCTTTGATGTTGGGTGTATGTATTTACAATGGTTAGATCCTCTTAATGAATTGACCTTTATATCATTATATAATGACCTTCTTTGTTTCTTGTTATGGTTTGAAGTCTATTTTGCCTGATATAAGAGTAGTTACCCCTGCTTTCTGTTGGTTTTTATCTGCATAGAATGCCTTTTTCCATCCCTTTACTTTGTACCTTTGTGTGTCCTAGAAGCTGAAGTGAGTCTCCTATATAAGCAGCATATAGTTGGGTCTCGTTTTTTGATGCATTCAGCTACTCTCTGTCTTTTGGCTGGAGCATTTAATCCATTTACATTTTATAACTTTTTTATTGAATTACAGTCATTTTACAATGTTGTGTCAAATTCCAGTGTAGAGCACAATTTTTCAGTTATACATGAACATCCATATATTCATTGTCACACATTAATCCATTTACATTTAAAATAATTATAGCTAGGTGAGGACCCACCATTGTCAACTAGTTAATTGTTTTCTGGCTGTTTTCTTTTATTCCTCTCTCCTATCTTTGTGAACTAATGATTTTTCATAGTGGTATACTTTGATTCCCTTCTCTTTACCTAGTGTGTATCTACCATAGGTTTTTGTTTTGTGATTACCTTGAGGCTTACTTGAAACATCCTATAGATGTAATAGTCTATTTTAAGCTGGTAACAACTTAACTTTGATCACATACAAAAACTCTGCCCTTTTATCCCCCTCCCACCACATTGTATGTTTTTGATGTCACAATATATGTTTTTTATATTTGGTATCCACTTACAAAATTACAGTAGCTATAAGCTATTTTTAGTACTTTTATCCTTCAACCTTTGTAGTAGAGTTAAGTGGTTAACACATCACCATGTTACAGTATTAGAGTATTCTGAATCTGACTTATATACTTGCCTTTATTATGTTGTTTATTTTCACTTGTTGTCATGTTTCTAGTTAGCATCTTTTCATTTAAGCATTTTTTGTAGGGCAGGACTAGTGTTAATGAACTCCTTCAGCTTTTGTTTGTTTGGAAA